TATATATATATGTTATTATTAGAAATGTTTTTACCAGCTTGTAGCCAAGATTCTGATGTTTGTATAGATACCAAACATGTCAATGTCTAGCTAAAAGAACTTATAGTATTTAAAGTGGTAAACTGGGGGTTTGGGCTTGAGATGAATGAACCAATTGGCGAGACACATTTTGGTCACTTGTGGGCTGGATGTGGCCTGCGGGCCACCAGTTGAATAGTCCTGCACTATGAATGTTGGACTTAGTGCTGTGGAGACCTGGCATTGTATGGGTTCTAAGTCTTGAAATAAAGTACATGTGAAAATCATAAAGCTATCGCTCTTTTCCAAGCTACACATGTTTTTATGCGATGATTCCTCAGGATGATTCCTCAGGTCAACACGATGCAGGCAATAGATATGTTTATAAATATTTGTGTAAAGTTGCACATATTTTGTGAAAAAATGTCAGCTGTTGTGCTGCAGGTTGACATCATCACAAGAAGAATTGGAAGGCAGCATGTTTTTTAGTATCACACAGAACAATTTATAGTCAGGTATTTTAATGTAGTTCCTGTGCCAAGCCATGCTGCTGATTGAGACAACTTCATGAATCTAAAATATAAGTCCTAGTCTGATCTGCCTGGCACCTCTTTCCATTGAGGACGTCGAAGATGTTTTCATATTCGGATTTATGATAATCAAATTCCTGCTGATCGGCTGTGGAGGAGTTCTGGTTTATCGGAAAATGAGAACGACACTGACGGCAGTCTGGGCCTGTGAGAAGCTGTCAATGTCCCTGGATGGAATCTCTCATACGTTGAATGCACAGACTCAAATTATGGGGGAGTTGAATCGCAGACTGGATATAGTTCTGGCTAGGACCGCAGCCTAGCGGTGTGAGGAGTAAGGCAACATCTGGGTGAAGTTCATACGACAGAGGCGAGATGGTAACTAATCTGGATTTTTGGCATTTTCGCAACACAGAGGCTCAGTTAAGACTTTAAAGCAGTGGAAGAAAAGTCTGTTGCTTGTTCTAAAGACTTTATTCCTATCATCGGATTCCCACAGATGTGACCTTGGTCGCAGCTGAGAAACCACCCTGGATGATTCAATTCAATTGAATTCAAAAATACTTTATTGATCCCAGAGGGAAATTAGGTATATGTTTGGAGGAAGCCTTGATCCAACCCACCCTCCCCAATCCCCACCTATGTCTGGACCCAGTCTGGAGGCTGTGCTGGGTGGAAACAGAGGAACTGAACTCTGGTGAACTGCGCTTGACTGACAACAGCTGGTTTGGACTCTGAAGGTCTCTGATTTGGTCCAGGCACTCTGCCCTGGATGTCACCGGCTCCTCTGCACCCCTTCCCCCTTCCATATGTTTGCCCCCCAGCTGCTCCTCTCGCAGAGTGGTTTTTTGTGTGCATGCTCGTGTGTTTTTTGTAAAAAAAAACACAGGATCAAAGCTCTTTTTTAAACTCATCCTTCCAATGTGTGTGTATTCTAAACTGCAAAGGTAGCACACAACGTAGCGCAGGGCCCTGGATATTCATTCCCCCGTGTCTGTCATTGTGTGTTTCTCCGGACGGATGTTCTAAACTGCAATTTCGTTCTGCACTGCATCCTGATGTTGTGTGTGAATGACAATAAAAGCTTCTGATTCTGATTCTTAACACAGAAACTCTCCTTTGAGGTGCTGTGACTCATTTATTCACCTTAACTAATTAATAAATAAAGTTCTAAGTTCTCCCATCTCATAAGTTTATCTGTGGTTACAGTCAAGTATTTTGTATTTCAACACAATTTCTGTTAAAAGGCTGGCACCTCAGGAAGAGGACACTTTCTGTTTAAAGACTGTAAATTATGTCTGTCTGCCTGTATGTGTTTTAATGTGTCTTGTAAGCATGTGTGGGCTGGGAACCTGTTTTGGTGCATGACACAAATAGAAAATACAATTCCTTCTACTAGATAGTCTGGTTTCAACTGTAATTGGACTCAACTCTGTTAAACTATCTCATGAACCACTGGACAGGTTTCAAACAAATCATCAGCAAATAATCATTGAATAAATATACAAAACTCATTAACTTAGAGTATCAACCCAATTCAGGATAACTGCCACAGAAAACTAAACTTAGAAAACACAAACATGACAATAACTTACAGATAATAAAATCCGTAAAATCCGTTGTGGTGATGGCTAGAATCATTCACAATATATACTTGGAGTACTAACAGACTATTAGGAGTTTTTACTGTGTGTTTGTTAGCAAAAAATTCATGAATAACTGTACAAATATTAGTGAAACTCTCAGAATAGTCTTCAAAACAGTTTACACAAAATAACTTTTGAAAATGAAAAAAAAATCTATCTGAATCAAAATGGCCAACACAGCTAATAAATCTTAGTGAAGCAAAATGTCTGTAACTTGGTCAAATATACAAGCTATTAAGCTAAATGTGCTTGTGTAAATGTAGTTCTTACCTGTCTCTGTAGATCTGAGTGCAGTCTGGTTGTCCAGACCTGGTCTCACTGGAGGCCATGGACCTTTGATTGGACTTGCTAGTTTCCCCTCAAGAAGATCTGGTGTGTTTGGTGGCTGGTTGACGGCTGCCCACTTGTACAGCTGATCATGCTGAGAAAACAGAGCATTTTAAAACACATCTTTCTTTATGTCAAAAATAATATTAATCCCAACCAATAAATTGAAAAAAGGTAGGAATAAAACATGAATAAACTGCCATGAAATCTGAAAATAAGAAATTATTTATTTATTCTTTGTGTGCTCATTTTTGCCAGCTACATTTGCTGCAGCCCAGTTGTGCTGGGAAGTGGATATTTCTCAACATGTTGTAAATTTAAACTGGAATGCCCCTCTGTTGCAGCTACTAACAAACTCAATAGTGAGTAAAAACTCTATATTTTTACTTTTATTAGTATTTCTATATTATTTATTTGACATTTATAAAAGGACATTTATAAAAGGACATTTATTCATAGAAACAGAGTTTCTATGCATGTAATACCACACTGACGTCAATTATTGATGGTAGCGGTGCTCAGACATTGCAATGAAAAAAAGGAACATTACATTTCGTGTTTCGTTGTAGTTAAACAATGTTGAAACTATTTACAACTGAACCTTTAAACCTTAGTTCCTCTTTTATGGGACACAGTTAATTTCACTTTGTTTCAGCATTACAGCGATGTAAAAACACATTTTAAGATGATTATACTAAGGACATGGACTGATCTCACCATTTCTTGACACTACCCATTTAAATTAATTTATTTCAAAGAGCAGTTATGAAAAACTGTTATTTTAGTATAATCTAATGTCAGTGTAAGTGCATGTGTTTAATATAGTGGCTATGAGGTCACAAAATGGCATTTCCAACAGTGCAGTGTAGCTGCTAAAGCTCAGATGTCCCAGCTTTTCACCAGCCCTGAACGCAGCATTACACACGTGGATCCTGTGGTAAGAAAGTCTCGTAAGTCAAATCTGCAAGCGAGCAGACCTGTGCACCAGTGTGTGTTGCACGTGCTGCTGCTCGCTTGCTCCAGTCTTGTTGTTTACTCTCAAATCTAGTTGAAACTTCTCTCTCTCTCTCTCTCTCTCTCTCTCTCTCTCTCTCTCTCTC